TTGCTGGAGGTTGAAGATGTGGTTTTTGTCTTAGAAGGGGGTTTTGGAAGTTGACTATCTCTTTCATCATTCTTATCATTTACAATTTCAGGGGAATATCTATTTGGAGGATGTTTCTCTCTCCCTGACTTTCGTATTGACATATTTCTTGACATAATTTATAAGTCGGGTTTCGGCACCAATGTTAAAATTATTAAAGGTAGACAAGACTTTAAAAATAAAAAAAATTAATAGACTTGATAAAAGACATGTATTCAACAAAATTGGATATTATTTACAAAAAAAAGATAATGAATAAAATAAAACATATGTTAGTTCGATCTAAATAAAGAAAAAGGCAGTCATGGATTATTATTATTACAACAATTCTAAAAATTTCCCGGGGGAGGGCCTCCAGACCCTTGGAGGGTATTTCCATACCCCCTAGACCAACCGGTAGATCTTACCACCCCAGTTAAAAGTCTGAAATGACGCCCATGGGGGGGCTAAGTTTACATGTGCCTAGGGGCCGCTGAGGTCATAATCCGCCACTGATTATATCCTACACCTTAAACAATTCTTTGTTATTATTACAATCAATGTAGCACCAAAAACATGGTAATGTACCTATTATACAGGGTGATCAACTCAAGGAGGCCACCATTGGGATATCGGAAACGGTAAGAATTAGAGAAAACTTTAAATAGGAGACATTCCTTTAAATATGAATTTATTTTTTGGAATTTCAGCCGCCATTTTCCAATATGGCTTTGAAATTTGTTATAGGACACCCTATATTTTCTAATATTTTCAGATAGAAAATGGAATTTAAAAATTTTTTATTCTTGACATTTTTTCATAAACCTAACTCGTTTAGGAGTTACAGCCTATGAAAAAATTACTTCCGGTGTACAGTTTGCATCAAGTAGCACCTAAACGAGTAGGTTTATAGCGAAAATGCGAAGAGTAAATAAGTCTTAAAATTGCATCTACATTCCAAAAAGACAATAAAATACCTTAAAATACACAGTTTTCCACTTTTAAGGTTTGCTGCCATTTTGTAAAATGGCCGCCATTTTTAAAATAATAGAATCAATATTTCTTACATACTACAGTATAATATGATTCTGTTAATCTGTTTATGCATCAAGTAGTTGAGTTGAATAGTGCTGTAGTGAATAGTGAGAAGTGTCCACGAATACAAATACAGTAAATTACACAAATTAATTTAAATACTATAACAAATGTTATGTACTTTATGACATAAGTAAATCAAATAATTATTTTTAGAACGTCATATACAACCAGTTTCTTAAAAGATCAACAGTCACTAGCACCCTTTTTTGTAGCCAATCATTCGAGATTTCCATGATCACATTCAAATCAAATCAAATCAAATCGTCTTTATTTCATTGTAATATTTCATTTCATTTCATTCATTATTTAGTATTAAATTTTTTTTAAATGTTAACTTTTATTCATACACCTAATAATCACTCCTCAGAAAGGCTGCCCTAATATTCATTTTCCTAATTTATATCATTTCATTAATATGTTCAATTAATCATTAATAATATTCATTCCATAGCCTATATTTTTTTTTTTTTTTAACACCCACAACCTAATTATTTATTAAATATGTAAGAGAATTGCAATACATCAAAATTTCTTATAATATAATTTCAAAATTAGTCCATAAGGAATCAAAATTTAAGAAGCAGTGAAAGTGATCCCATGTGTTCAACAATCAGTGATGTGAACATTGGATTTGAGAGAGAAGGAAGCCATTGAGAAGTTGAAATTATTAGAAGAAGGACTCAACATTTTTACCTAAGTTAAATCAAATTCATTTATCAAGAATCAAGTTCATTTCAAGTTTCAAGTTATATCATATAGTAGCCTAAACCTCAAGAGGACTCAACTCAATCATTATCTTCAAAATTAAGTATAACCTTTTCTTTAAACTCTTTTAAATTTTGTGCTAATTGGACTTACCTTTTGGACAACACCAAAATTAGATTTTTCATTGTTGGGATTTATAAGTTCAACACCTTAATTAGGCCTATTTGGACACTATTACATTTATTAATTATTAGCATTCAAGCCAGCACGACACCCTACCCTGAGATAGATCACATCTAAATTATTTGAACCTTCAAGTTATTATTCAAATTTATCTTTTATTTCAATTTAATTTTAACCCCATACACCATTGTCAATCCTTTCATTGTAACGTCAAGCCTTTTCTCATTGCATGTTAATTGTTCATTTGTTTAAATAAAACACCTTTTGTAATCCTTATCTTTGTTAACTTATTAACTTTAAACATTTATAGAATAGGCCTAGCCTAAAATGAATATTTTAAGGTGAGTTTACATCATATTGTACATAAATCAGTACATGGAATGGCGTCAAAAACTATGTCTAAAACTTAACATATAGAAATCAAGTCTAATAGAAATAAAAAAACACTAATTTAACATATATTCTTCTAAGGAGTATAGAGGGATTCATTCATTGTCCAGTTACATTCATTGTCGCATATTGCAATTAAAAAAATAAAACCCATCAACACCTTTTTCGTTTGACCCACCTGTAGCTGTCGACCATGTATACTGCCTCTTAACTATATGCGTATTTTTTTCTTTACGTGCATGATAGAGTGACACCATACATAATATTATTATTATTTACTTAATTTTAACGCTTTCACAATCGCAATATTCATACAAAAATAGACAGTATAAAAACAAGAAAAGATGCTAATTATTTATTTGCCAATTATAATGGATAAGATTATATATATTCTACAAATATATTATTTATAAAAATATCTGACGTGTTTCAAAATATATATCTAAAATATATTTATAAATACTTTAAATATATAATATAGTATCAAAAATATTATATCTTATCTTACTAATATTATAAATGTGAAAGTTTGTGTGTTTGTTTGTTTGTTTCAAGTTCAATCACGCTTTAACTACTGGTCGGATTGGGCTGAAATTTGGTATGACGATACCTCACATTCCCGATTTACATAAAGGCATATTCTTATCTCTAAAATCCTTTCGGGCTCCGCCCCAGTGGCTCTGGAATTTCCCATGTTAACCTTATGAGTATTCATATTTAAAAGAGATTAAAGCATTTTGTCAGCTATTTCAATTACACAAGTTGTTCTATGATATTAAATATTATTAAAAGTTATAAGGTTCACCAATAGGGTGTAGCACTATTAATTTAACAAAAAGCTGTGATACACAAATGAGAACTGTTAAAGTAGGATTGTTTACAGTTAAGTTTATGTTTTTAATTTATAAATAATGTTTTGATATTGGGCGAATATTTGATAATTTACCTTTTTTTTCTGTTTAGGTGTAGTGGTAGAACATTATGGCTATGGTATATGTGTTATACTATAGCTTCCGCAAATTAAAAGAACATAATTTTCTCAAACCGTGTTTTCTTCCATTGCAAACACAAAACATGAGTATAACTGCAATACACATTTTATACTTATACGCAAACCCAAACCCTGTACGAAGGACGGGTATTCTGCTAGTATATATATATATTTAAAATATTCTCAACACATAACATTTTTAAATATTTAATAGGAAAAATATACATATAAAATATGTATATTATAGATTCTATACTTATTTTATCAATATGTTATGGATCTATTTTATATATTCAAAACTTATATTTAATTGATATTTTGCATGGCTTTTTGGTAATATTTTAAATATATAATTAAATATATCAAACTGTTATTAAAGATATATTATTTATATATTTTATTCGAGGTTCTATCAAATAAAACTTTAAATATATATAATATTTATAAAATACACATTTGTGCTACTAGGGTTACAGCCTATAAAAAAATGACTTCTGGTGTACATTTTGCATCATATTGCCACAAAAATAAAGGAATGACCCCGGTTTAAAGTTTTCTCTAATTCTTACCGATTCCGATATCCCAATGGTTGCCTTTTTGAGTTGATCACCCTGTATTAAGTTTTCACAAAACGTAGAGAGACACCTCCTCAGGTAGAACGGGCTGTCCTAATCCTCTGTTTACATATTCGTAGCCTTCATTAGTGGCAACCACCCCTGACTGCCGGCATTCCAAGAAAATCTGTGTCACAGTATAATTTTCAATCATATGATACATTAGACCTACATAAACGAATGACGGCTCATTTTTTTGACTTACTTAGACGATAAAAAGCAATAATTTTAATCACAGTTCTACGATGTACCATTGCCATAATAACGCAGTTGTCACCTAACTTACTATAAATATTGCCGAGCGCTAATGGAAAACCCGTAATCAGATTTTCTTGGAATGCCGGTAGTCAGGGGTGGACGCCATTATTGAAGGCTACGGGTATGTAAACAGAGGATTAGGACGGCCTGTTCTACCTGAGGAGGTGTCTCTCTACGTTTTGCGAAAACTATACATATTGTTTAATAAAAAATTTCTGTAGCCTTATAATATTTACGTTTATGAAAGAGAATACTGGGTTTTACACAGTGCAAAATATGATTTTAATTGTTTTATATTTAAAAGGTTCACAGGTTAAGGTATTTTCCGACCCCTAAGACAAGATACTGGTTTATATTCCAAACTGCAAGAACCCATGTATCACTTTAGCAGTACCAGGGACTGATGTTCAGGGGGTAAAGAATATCTAAATTTATAGTATACAAGTAATAAAGATCAAATAGACATATTCGCGCTAAACCTTTGTTTTAACTAAAAAAAAATTTTAAAAATGGGATCAAAATTTTAAACTGAATCACCATTAAATCTTGAAACCTAAAAAAGCACCTGAGACCTGATAAAGAGAGTTAATCTAAGGTGCTGTCTCCTGGCCAAACACCCTAAACCTCTTTAGAACTATGCCTTTTGATGAGATGTAAAGGTCTGCTACACAAAAAATACTTATAAACCCAATACTCTTCCATGGTAATAATTAATAATACAATACAATAATAGTAGTTATTACCTGTTATGGGCATAGTCAGACATAAGACGTAGTATTAAGAGCTCCTTCTCATCATGCCTTGCACCCTGTGACCTGTAATGATTTAAGATTACAAATCTGTTTGTGCAGAAGTGAAACCTCGGTTCTACCAAAAAACCCCATCAACCCTCATCCATGCAATTGCTCCTTTCGAGAGACTTAACATTGATTTTAAGGGGCCAATACCATCTGTGACAAGTAAAAAATATATACTGACGGTTGCAGGGCCGGATTTCCCAATAGGCCCGTTAGGCCCGGGCCAATGGGCGCAAGGTACCAGAGGGCGCACGGCCGAGAGTTAATTTTTTATACCTACCAAGGCTATCTAAAAATAAAAATAAATAGTCATAGTTGATAAAAAAAACTCCAAAGCATTATGATTCTGAAGTTTATAAGAAGAAATAATTGTTAGGAAATTTAAAGTATTTGTCAAAATTACACATCAATTTCGTTACAAAATTGGTTAACATTGGTTATACGGGAGTAGGCTGTAGGGATCTTGACTTTGACGAGCGCCCAAGGGGTAGGCCTACGCATCGTACCACAGCTTTTTTTTCTGCTTGGTACAAATTAGCGGTTGTCATAAATTTAAAAAAATAATAGTGCTGCACCCTGTTGGTAAACCTATTAACTTTTTAATGCTATTAAACATCACAGAATCAAATTGTTTAGTTGAAACAGCTGTTAAGATTCTTCATTTAAATCAAGTACTCATAAGGTTTAACATGGGGAAACTTCAGAGCCACTGGGGCGATTGGACGGATCACAAAATTGATGGTGTATATACCTATTCCATGAAATTCTACACGTATGTACCAAAGTTTCGTGGCAATTGGTCCAACGGTGCCGAGCTCATAACGTTCAAATATATATATATATTTATACAAACTTCCTCTTAAAAAAAAATATAGATTATAGATTTCAACATAAAAACATGAGTAAATGTTATTGCTCAATAAACCTCATGATTTTAACCCATCGTTATGCCTTAATGAGCGTACGCCTAGTGTAAACATATCAGTCACAGCTAGGAAAAAAAATCTTTATCCAAACAGCTGTTTGTAATTTCATAGATGACGTTCACCGTGTAACAGATGAGTAGTATTTCATAGATGAATATGTAGTAAACATAGAGAGAAAACTTGACAAAAATCGCACAACACTCTTCTGTATTTTTGATCTTACTTTATTTTATTTCCAAAATGGCGAGGCCATATTTTAATGGCTAAAGACACTCTCGCTAATCCTGTGAATACAATTAAACTACATATTATAATCACGATCGGTACTCTAGCTAGGTCATGGAGGACAAACAGAAATTAAGATAAGATTTGTTTCGGCTTCTTTAATGTATAAAATGTAAAAATATATATATATATATAATTATGAGCAATGTACAGTAAAAACTCTTAATTTTATTTACCTATATAGATGTCGTGGTAAATCTGTGATACTTAGTCTAAAGGAGTTCAACAAAATTACTAGTGGTATTTATTTTGATTTTGGACTGATAAATTACTATCTAAGGTTTGTACATTTACTGTTCTTTATGACAAAAACAATTATATAAGGTTATATATTTATATAAATAATAAGTCTCAGATATTCTGTTTTAGTACAAAGACACTTACTAGGTTTGCTTTCATTACAGTGAAAGCCAGTTGAGTAAAGCGATCAGGTTTCATAGTTTTTTATAAAGCAATAAATAACAACATTTATAGCCTAACTAGAATTAATGGATATAATAATAATATCAATGACATCATGTAACTGCAGTTATTTAAAGATTTTCTACTTGTAAAGTGAATATAAGGATTCCCTCCGTCATGAGACAATGTATGTTCCTTTATATGGCTTTATGATGCAAAAGATTTTCTTCATGTTGTTAACTTAAGAGGATGCTTATTACCAAAAATTAATACATGTCTTTTACAATTCTTCGAATCCATAGGATTTTTCACATGCCTTTTCAAAAAGTATACGGATGCAAAGGATTTTCCACACGAGATGCACTTATAAGGTTTCTCTTATCTATGAACACTCAATGTATGTGACTTCAAATTGCCTTTAGATGCAAAGGATTTTCCACATGAAGTGCAATGATAAGGTTTCTCTTCTGTATGAACACTCAATATATGTGACTTCAAATTATTTTTCAATGAAAAGGATTTTCCACATGTAGTGCACTTGTGATGTTTCTCTTCTGTATGAACACTCAATGTATGTGACTTCAAATTGCCTTTGCATGCAAAGGATTTGTCACATTCAGTGCACTTATAAGGGTTATCTTCTGTATGAACACTCAATGTATGTGACTTCAAACGGGATTTCAAGGCAAATGATTTTCCACATTCAGTGCAATGATAAGGTTTCTCTTCTGTATGAACACTCAATATATGTGACTTCAAATTTACTTTGGATGAAAAGAATTTTCCACATGTAGTGCACTGGTGAGGTTCCTCTTCTGTATGAGCACTCAATATATGTGACTTCAAACTGGATTTGTAGGCAAATGATTTTCCACATTTAGTGCACTTGTGAGGTTTCTCTTCTGTATGAACACTCAATCTATGTGACATCAAAATGGATTTGAAGGCAAATGATTTTCCACATTCAGTGCACTTATAAGGTTTCTCTTCTGTATGAACACTCAATGTATGTGACTTCAAACTCTTTTTGAAGGCAAATGATTTTCCACATTCAGTGCACTTGTGAGGTTTCTCTTCTGTATGAGCACTCAATCTATGTGACTTCAAAATGGATTTGAAGGCAAATGATTTTCTACATTCAGTGCACTTATAAGGTTTCTCTTCTGTGTGAATACTCAATGTATGTGTCTTCAAATTGCTTTTGGATGCAAATGATTTTCCACATTCAGTGCACTTATAAGGTTTCTCTTCTGTATGGACACTCAATGTATGTGACCTTAAATTGCCTGTTGATGTAACAGATTTTCCACATAGAGTGCACTTATAAGGAGACTTCCCTGTGTGTGTCAACACATGACTCTTTACATAATGTAAATTAATGTAGGTTTTGTCACATGTCAAACATTTAAAGGGACGCTCTCCCGTGTGATTTAATACATGCTCCTTCATTCTTTTTCGAATTGTAAACATTTTTCCACATATTGGACACTTAAGAGGAAGCTTTTTAATGTTTTTTAACATTTGTAATCTTCCACTCTCCATCTTTGTGAAAGGCATGAGATAAACTTATCCCATAACAAATCAGAAGGGTCAATAAGCCTTGTAAGCTTATCTCTATTTGTAAATTTATTTTATTATTTTTTATTTTTTTTGTAAGACTCTTTAAATGTTAAGCAGTTTTGTGGATTCTGGGTTCCTCTTTTGTCACTGAAAAAGATCACACTTTATTTTCATTGTTATCTTTTAGTTCATTTTTGTGCACAAAATTGTATTAAGTATCCTAACCTGAATAAGTACAATATTTATAGATTTTCAAATAGGCCTACTTCTTTTTTTTTGTAGCAAGACGTCTAAGGTTAAAATTTAATCACTAATTCTGTCCAGTGGCGGATTACCACCCTTTAGGCACTATAGGCAACTGCCTAGGGGCTGCAGGTCTCAAAGGGCTGCAGACAGAAAAATAAAAATAAAATTCTTGTAAAAATAGTTTGATAAAGCTTAAAAATCTAACAAATTTAAAGCCAGTTTCTAAACATTTCCTGGGGGAGGGCCTCCAGATGCTTGGTAGACGCCTAGACCACCCGGTAGATCTTGCCATCCCAGTTAAAAGTCTGAAATGATGCCCATGGGGGGGGGGCTAAGTTTACATGTGCCTAGGGGCGGCTGAGGTCATAATCCGCCTCTGATTCTATCTTAGGCTACACCTTAAACAATTATTTGTTACTATTACAATCAATGTAGCACCAAAAACATGGTAATGTACCTATTATATACATATTGTTTAAACAAAAAGTTCTGTATCCTTATAATATTCACGTTTATAGGTTTTCACAGTTTACTGGGTACCACGTATGATCAAACTCGTACATTTTTAGGAGTTAGGAAGTGGTTAGTGGATTTTTCCTTTAAATAAAATGCTTATTTTTTTAATGTTACCTACAAGACTTGATAAATTATACAGAATTAGTAGACCAAGTTAGTCTTACACTCTGTCATGTTGGGTACAACCCTTGAGGGAACCATTCCAGCATTGACCTTAGTGAGGAAAGAAACCGTACATATGTTTCTCAGAATGGTCGGTCTGATAATCAGACCTCCAAAATGTGAAATGAAATAATACCGTGAGGGATACCGTGAGGGGGGGGGCTGAGACCTGAGACAGACAATTAAAGAGTCCACTAAGTATAATGCCCTCGCATATCAAGTGGCCAGAAATGGCTGTTAAATCAGCATGGATGACCACCTCATACAAAATTTAAACAAAATACTTATTAACCACAACAAGTGGCGACCAATTGCTGACCAGTGGCGATGACAAATCGCAGAGGGGAAAATTGAACCCATCATGTTGATAGGTCAAAATGGTCATGAGAATTTTAATGAGGGATGAGAAGGAAAAAAATAAGGATTAGTATGGTAGTAGAGAAAACAGGAACCTACTTAGGCAGGGGGCTGTATCAAGTAGGTCTCCATACTGCCCAAGTCGATGACCCCACTTTGTTCGTCCAAAGAAAGTTTACTGGGGTTGAAAAGGAGGAGGAAGCCTGGATTTAATAACTCAGCTAGCAAGTAAAGAACTTAGTTAATTTTACTGTAAAAGGATTACAAATAAACCAATTAAAATTTAAAAACCTGATACATCAAATAAAGCACCAACAAATAGTTAGGTAAATTAACTTAAACACAGATTGATGTAAACATAAATGTTAAATGTGTTGTAAATCTCAGCTAAAAATAGCATACAATAATATTACCTGTTATCTGCCTAGTCAGACATAAGATGTAGTCAGCATTAAGAACTCCGATTAAACAGTCCATGCACGTTGTGACCTGTAAAGATGAGTTTGTTAACAAGTGATAAGAGTATGGGTAAGCAAATGATTTATTGTAGATTTTATAACATTTTTGTAGGATTTATTATTGGCTTATTTTTATAAGATTTATATCAATGAGACTAACAGTATTGCCTGTAAACTGAAAAATACGCTATGTAATTTAAAGTCTACGTTTTAACTATTAGTGATTGAAGATCTGTCTATGTTTTAAAAAAGTATTACAAAGGCTAAGCTTTCCCCACAGAAGTACTGTAAGGTACTTACAATACTGTATAGCTTGTGTGTTGTATAGCTTAGGTTATACAAGCTTATGGGACAACGATCAAGGGCGGTCCTAGACATATACTTTGTGGCGGGGGAGCCACCGGGGGGGTCTGGGGGTACCCTCCCGGGAATAATTAGGAAATAACGTGCTAAAATAAAGGGGTTTTAAGCTATTTTGAGGTCCTATTTTAATGTGTTTAAGCTTCCCAGTTTATTTATTCAAGCTTCCCAGTTTATTTAAAGGTCAAAGAAATTTAAAAAAATAAATAAGTATAATGTAATGTTTTTTAATTATTGAGACTTGTGGTTTTAGTAACGAAGGAATACTGCAAGCTTTGACTATTGATACAACTTCTTTTCTTTATCCAATACCCAATTCAAGTTTTCAATAATTTAGTTTAAAATGAACATTGAAATACAACATTGATAACATTGAAATGCCGAAAAATTAAAATAAGAAGAAGAATGCGGCCGAACGTCAAACGCCAGCATCGGACACTGCTGTTGCCGTATGTGGCTGAAAGCGTCCGTCGTCTGCCGATCTTCACTACTTTTCATAACGTACAAAAAATTGTTGGACTGTATAGATGGTCCTTTCGTTCGCCACAAGTGTAAAAACTACAACAAATTTGGTAGAATGATTTGCAATACAAATTATTAAAGTTTCCCTGGTATAATTGTTAATCTCTCCCTAGGACCGCCCTTGACAACCATGCTCTTTTAGCTCTGGTATGTTAGGGCAGAAATGTACAAGTGAAGAGCAAGGAAGAGACTGAACGACAATCACTGTGTGGAAATTCCTATTGTACAGGGCTCAGAGTTCCTCCACCGTGAGCGTTGTAGTAGGTACATAATGGCGTGGGGAGCATTGTTATCCTAGACACCAGCACTGATGCAAGACACCAACTTAGTGTACCACTGAATGTCCTCTGCTACATCCTCTGTTCCTTATTTCTCTGAGGCTTTAGTGGTACCTAACTGGTTGCTGTCCAAACTGTTACTAGCAGAACAACTTTGATTTGCAACTCCACCGGCAGAATGATTGTTTTAGGTACTAACGAATTAGACTTTTCCATATCAAAGAATCATAGAGGTAATTACAATTGGACTTTTAGTAATCATATCTTTTTCTGTAATGAATTATAATACGCATGTTTACATACTGTACCTTAATTAATAACTGCAGTATTTAGTCATGTGGTTCGCATTAGATTAGGTTAGTTTTTGTATTTGGCTACTTTTTGAATTTATTTACAATGTGAACATTATCACCTGATAATATTTATTATTTGATTTGTTTGTAAATATTGTATTTGTTCATAACCAAAACATGGTTGTAATTTTGAATGAATAAAAGCCATACTTTTGGTTTACTAAGTCTTTCTCACAACAATTTTATTCATTCATTGATAAACTCAGTTAGTGCTACATTACAATGGAGAAATTCCTTAGACCAAACAAATGGAACATTGACCCGGAATCTCCAACTGCCTCAGAGGAATGGACGCACTGGTTACAAACATTCGAAGATTTTCTAACCATGACAGAATCAAAAACGACAAAGTTATGAGATGGTGACTAGAGCTAACACCTTATCAATATGAAATAGTTTACCGACCTGGTAGGGAGAATGTAAAAGCAGATACGCTCTCTCGGGCATGTGCGGTTCGCTGGGACACCATCATTGATACCCCCAGCCCCAGTGAAATCGGGAAAATTTCATGCGGGCCGCAATCACGGACATCATCATCGACCTTTGCGACCGCTGCGAATTCTACAACATCTTCCACGGGCTGCAATCACGGGGACATCATCATCGAGACAAACGGCCGCGGCGAAATCGAGCGCGGGAGGGGATGTTGACGTCGTCGTCCTTAAAGCAAATGCCTTTCTTTTTTTTTAAAAAAAAAAAGAGGTTGGCGGCCTCTTTTAACCTTGCATTTGCCCGTCCACATAGACTAAGCGCCCGTGCGTGGATCGTTTTCTCCACCAAAGATTATTTGAATTGTAAAACTTTTGTTTAATGTTTTCATAACGATGACTGTATTATATAGTTTAATGTGTTAAATGTACTGACCTTTCCTATTGCAATGTATATATTGTTTAACGGAATAAAGATTGTCTATTGTCTATTGTCCTATTCTGCTACCTACTAGTCTGACCAAAGACATTTCTCTGCATTTTTCGGAGTTCGAGCCGCGGTGCGGAGGCGGTTCAGGTTGCTCGTGCGAGTTGTGTCTGAGTGGCGAATTTCCATTTGTCTGAATTGATTTTCAATTAAACCTTTTGGTGGCGTCCGCATCTCAATGATTGATATTTGAAAATCTGATTTTGAAAGAGACAGAGGTAAAGTGACAAAGAGACTCTTTACCATAGGGTAGTGGTGGGAATCACCGAATAAAAATAACCGAACCAATCAGTAATTGACACTGAACTTATACTGGACTAATTCGGTTATTTTATCCTGATTCAGTCAAATTAATCTTACCGAGCGATTCGGGGATTTAGTTATAGGCCTATTTAATTTGTCACATCATCGGTAACTAAATTTTAATCGGAGATTCGTTTGAATTAAAATCCCCGATTGACGCTTAATGACTAGGCTAAATGCTATTTAGTTTTCTATGAGAAAAAAATTAGTTGTGGTTTGGGAAAGTGAATAGGCTAATGACTAAAAATTGATTTGGTGATTCATTTAACTAAAAATAACCGATTGGCGCAAGAAATAGGTAGGCCTAACTGATTGATTAAGTATTAGGTTAGGTCATGAAAACCATTCGGTTTATCCCATCACTAGGCTACTATAGGGAAAGGAGTCCTGGTGAGGGACTAAGCCTACTCTCTTACCTCAAATAACAAATGGACAATTGATCAAATTGAGCAAGAAATGAGAAATGTTATCTACCTTGTTCGAACGGAAGATGTACCTATGGAAAAGATGTAACTTAGACCATATTAGAAGATTGTAAATTAACCCTCCGAGTGTCCATAGTTTAGGCCTTAACGTCCGCCTATTTTTGGCGCATTTGCAAGGTTTTATTAAAACGGATCTGAGAAGCTTAAAACAATGTTAATTCTACTGTTCTATATACCATTTTGTTTGGAAAATCATGGGCTTCAATATTATACATAAAACATAAGGAACATTTGTTTCAAAAAAATTTTTTAGGTAAAAAAAAAATATTTTGGAAAATTTTCAAAAAAAAAATAAGTTTGCGCTCAATGAAATTGTATAAATCATAGGCCTATAAATATTTGAAAATAGCCACTTTGTTCTAAATTTTATGAGGATTACAAATATATAATAATATAAGGAAGTAGATTTGCAAATAAATAAGTTATGGGCAAAAAACAGATTTCAGTAGCCTACATAGCGTTTGTTTAGCTAAGAATGCATAAGTTTAGCCTAACCATAGCTAGGAATCTGGCTGATAATTTACATCAATATCACTACCTACTTCTTCAGGATCATCAACCAGCCCTTCAAAATCACTTAGGCCTAAATCTTCTTATAATGCACCATGTATATCACTACTTTTGATTTTTAACACTAAAACAATGATAAACGTAATAAAACACATCAGTCATCGGTCCAAGGGTAACCTAGCTGCTTACAAATACGCACGTCAGCTGTCTGCTACAATTACGATCGGCTCGGAGAACATAAAGCGCTTAGAGACAGACCTCTGGAGAAAGCGTAGAATATAACGAAAAGAACGATACCTAACTCGATCCAGTTCAATCCGATTCAGTCAGTCATAGAGCCTTCGCCGTAAAAACGATGTTCGTGCGTCAAAAAATCGACGCGTGACACTACACAAAGTGTGTCGCGCGTCAATTTTTCGACAAGTGACGCTCGGAGGGTTGAAGAAAACTAAAGAGGGAGGACTGCTATACCAGCTGGTACCTAATTATTTTCTAGTGATTGTTTATGTTGAGATTTTACTGTTTAGCCTAGCCTAGTTTTCTGTTAACATCTTTAATCAAATTATTTCATTAAGTTAATAGAATTTATTCTTTAATAAACACAACAGTTTCTTGCCCCTCATTTATTTTGTATGGAAATTATACTTAAAAATCCCATGCAGCCTATCTGTAATGTAAGTAAATACCAACCAAGAATAGGCCTAGGCCAAGTCAATGAATAGAACTTATCATAAAGAACTTACAGATTATTATATTAACTTATTATAGAACTTACACCACTCAACTCCTCTAGATGTTAGGCCTTTAATGCTATTTATGTACCTTGGTGTAGGCCTAGGCTAAAGTTTTAGTTCTGGCTGGACAGTGTTGGTTAAAATAATGGTAGGCCTGTTTATTTTCCGAAGATTTGCGAAATGTGATAAGCTAACGTTAATAATTAAGTTAATTTGAATTTGACGACTCTGACAATGCTCTCACTCTAATAACACTGACTCTACTAACAAAATCAAAACTAAAACTAAAACACTATTTATTTCTTTTCTATGCTATTAGTAGTAAAAAAGCCAAATCGAAAGTCGAAGTAGTCAATGTAGTGTAGTCTTCTACTAAGTCGAACGAAGAACGAAGTCGTAAGTCGTCGAAGTCAGATCGGAGTCGGAGATCGGATCGGAATTCGGCGGAATTTGAAGCAGTGTTGCCAGCCTTGAGCCCTGGGGCCCATTTCATAATAAAGTACAAACTAATATTATTATTAAATCAGCTGATTGCCCAATGCAAATCTAATGGAAATAACAAGTTACAAGTTTTATTTTATTATGAAATGGGCCCCTGGACCTATGAGAATTCCCCACCCGACTAAGAAAAATCGCCACTTAATTCCAGCTAACGGAAAAATCCTCCAATATAGCCAAGTAATAAAAATCTATGGAAAGTCCCCAATTTTCCTCCATACCACCACTAAATTCTGGGTCGAGTTCCCGCAAGGCTGAAAGGGGAGGCCTTCTTTTAGGTAACCTTTCATCTAGGTACCATTTCACTTAAATCACATATCAAGTTGGTACCGACAACTCAAATCGGTCAGCTAGGTCCCGGCCCCTCCCTTCTGGGGGAAGGGCGTGGCTTCGCCGTGGTCACGTGTTTCGCGGTGCGGTCGCTTACCCTCTACACTTCTGAAAATTCCCGCGACTTCTTTGAATTACCTCTACTCCACCCAAATTTCAGCCTTCCTTCGTCTCGTTTCGTGTTCTGTTCTGCGTTTCTTCTTCTTCTTCTCTTCTTAGATCTGCTGCTGCTCTTCTTAGCTAGCTCTGTCTAGTTAAGTTTGAGGTTGGATTTTGGAGAATTTATTGTTTGTCAATTTCAATTGTCAAATTGTCATACAAATTTGTATTTTAGGTGTGTATTTTCAATTTAGGCCTAAGTTACAACAACTACTACAGTTAAAAGAACCATTTTTGTCATCACAAAATTGAAAGGTAACTTATTGACATGGACATGGTCATTAGAATATTAACGTTTAAGCAAATTCAAATTAGTTTCTGGTAGCCTATAAAATAAATTGGGGGTACAGTTTCCTGGGCTTCGCTAATATCGATTGAAACTATCAAATTGAAAATATTGATTAATAATCGATATTTAAAATATATCTATTTTAAAATTAAACTGCACTTTATGCCTTACGTCCTACACTATAATTTTTCGAATAAATATATCGATCAATAAATCGATTATTTCATTCAATATATGAAGTTTGGTTAGTAAAGTTCCTAACCTAACTTAGCTAACCGAATGAATCGATACATCAAATAGGCCTAGTCTATCCATTAGTTGCATACTGCGCTTTTAGTTGGATTTTTAAACTCATAGAAAATTATGACTATTAGTTTTAATATAACTTCCGGTACTAGACTATTGATCGATTTCGAGCAACAAGTGCACTAGTTTTTTTTATATTTTTATTTTTTATAAGATGCTGACAAAGTATAAAGTTTTTCGTATGACAGTTTTAGTTTACCAATTGAGTTTTTAGCATTTTATAGCATAGCCTATACGTATTTGATACTCTCAGCAGCTGGAGTAGTGTGATTTTGGTGAAAACAGACTACACTCTGTTGGTAAAAACATTCTGCGATCTATTGGTGAAAACAGACTATATTTGGTAAATACAGACTACACTCTAGATTTTTTCTTTGATTATTGTGGCTTTACGTGACAGGTGGAGGTGGATGGCTATAACTTACAAGGTTACATGGTACACATTAAATTCATAATGATTTGCCTATTTTGGTAGACTGGCTTTTTCTTAGGACTACGCAGACGCTTCATTGCTCTTTACAATTTCAAGAGATCTATTGTTCAAGGCGTCAATGGGCAACTAACCTAAGTTTATCGCCATTCTACCGCATTATAACCCACCCTACAGGGCCCGGATTTTGTAGGTAGCAAATGCGCAACTAACCTACCGCCAGGGCAACGGCCATCAAAACATTTTTATGTGTGATAATAAACCTTGTAGGTTAGTCTAAATTTAGTTGATACTACTAACAAAATAACTTAGCCATCTTAAAGACATCAAGTAATTAAGTAGGCCCATTTTATTGGTCGTTGAATAATCACTGATTACTATAGACTTCGTCTGAGACACATTAACTCACGGTATATAGGCTACTTGATCAATAGCGATATAGGCCTATTATCACAGTCACATTTTTTATGCATAGCCTAACAAATATATATCACAGACATTAAAATAAATAATAAGTATAGTTGTGCAGTTAAATAGATCAGGGGTAATAGTACTTGTTGTAATATGTAGTTCTACTTCATCAAATCCATTTCAATGCATCAAGCAAAAGAGCTGTAACCCCATGAATAGCCTAGGCTAGTCTAATAATATTTTAAGACATTTTTATTTTATGATATTAAAAACATTAGGCTACACTAAGCTAATGAAATCTTCCCATAAACTTAGCCTACTCGGCTTTAATTTTTGCTTCGATTTTGACTGCCCTACCCGTCAATGAGGTTAAGGGTATTAGGCCTAACCTATACAAAATCCTGCCTTAATCTGAATGGGAAAACATTATTATTTGCAGATGATACAACGATGCTGTCCAGAACCTTTAGGATTATTACAGTTGTGTGGCATTTGGATCATTGCCGGCCAATCTTAAAGGATCTTAAGCTACGTTTCCATTCCTGCAAATTTGTGCCGGCACAAATCTCCAAATTTGTAGGAATGGAAACATCCTGGCTCAAGTCGCGGCACAAATTTGTGCCCGCCGACTGCGCGACAAAACATGTGCCCAAGCCGCGGGCACATGTGCCTGCAACTCGCGCATGCGCAGGTCCTCCAAACTACCGCATGCTCATAAATGAGAGGTAATCATAACCTCAAATTTCGTTGAGTCCGTTGGAGGAAATTTTCAAAGCCACTTTGTACGCGCAAATCTCTCATCAATTGATTAAATGCACCTTCCAATGCTCTTTTAGCCAAAAAAACTTCTTATCCACTATCTAGGTAGTTTTCTTCTAAGTTCATTGTATGCACCAGCCATAAATAAAAAAGCAGAGGCTGTTATGTCATCCATGGTGATTTGTATAACACAATATAATCAAAATCAGCCACCGAACCTCACCACATCACAATAAAAGAGAACACTGCCTTGTCTGCCAGTTGTAGTCGCGGGACTTGTGCCTGGAATGGAAACGGCATGACAAACTACGTGCGACATATGCCTCGTCATGGTCTCGACATGTGCCTCGACTTGTGCCTGCGACTTGTAGGAATGGAAATGAAGCTTAAGGGTACTCACGGTGTAGTGCTTTATATCCTGACCATAGAAAAGATGACGTGCAGTCAGTGGTGGATCTAGAACAGTCACAAGGGGGGGGGGACCAGGGTGTCTGAGAGGTTCGGGGGTACCCCCTCCCTCCCCAAAAATTTGTTTAAACTAAGTCTTCAAAAATGGCAGTTTTATACCATTTCTTTGTCCTAAGTTAGTGTGACAAATTATTGTACGCAATTTGTACGCACTACTGTATTACGTGCAGTCAAAAATATATGACATATATTTCCAAACTGCGACAGCCCCCCCCTCTGGATCCGCCACTGGGGTGCAGGAGTACTATACCAGAAGAGCACAAAATATAGACTTTTCCTGCTGTCGTCTCAAACGTACCTAGAATAGCTATCCTCGTTCTACTACTACTATTAACTACAACTCATAACTGCCTACTCATTTGCAGGAGATGGATGCACCCTCCTTCAGAAGGCGCTGAAAGGAATACTAATTATAGGCCGCTGTACTCCGTAAAAGAACTTAAGGAAGAGCACCTAGTGAGATAAGTGTATGTCTGCCATTTCATCCGTTAAACAGCCAGGTTTTTGAAGGTATAGTTTATTGTAAATATTATATATAGAGTTATTTATTAAATCACTTAATAATTTATTAGCTTCTGTGCCTGTGCTTCGCAACGGGAAGATGAACTATACCGCCTAATCCAAACAGTTGTTAAGTAGTCCGAATTTATGAACAAAAGCCACCAAATGTTGGCCTACTGTATAAAAACAATTATGACCAACATTGTAATTGCCCTACTGTTTACGTTAAAATATATCAATAACATAATATTCATTTTCATATTTGAGTTGTTTTGTCTCAAGATCAATGAACCAACTATTAAAGGTATAAAATTACCTCAGTACTGCCAGATTGATCCTGTTTAGTCCTTATAGATTACGGGGTTTAAGGACTTAAGTCCTCATCATGAGATCTTGTACAAGAACATTTAACACTGTAACTTCGAAAGGGTCATCAAGAGTTTAAATGCGAAACACGGACATATATACTATTTACAGTCATAGACGTTTTATGAACAAAACGACTAGGCTTACTGACAAAAACTTACAATGTCCAACCCCAACCTTGTGCGCACAGTTGCAGATGAGGGTCACGACTGCGATGCGGAAGATGGTTGGGCAGTGGACTTTGTATAGCTCGGCTCTTTGTTCATCAGCTGTTCTTGTTTTTTTATTAGAGTATCATACAGAGCGTTAGACTGTAAATGATTTTGTCGTTTAATAATGTGTTAGCTTGAATTTTGATTGTTTTATAAATTTCAAATTCTTCTAAAGCATCCATTCCTGTATATTGCTTTTACAATCAAAATAAACTATGCCATGGCTCGGTCCCCAGGTACTTATTTCAATTCAGGAAATTAAAGCCTTTACAACTATTATTCAACAAAAACTTCTCTGCACTAACTTGATCAGGGAAATATAGGCCTAGACAAAATATAAATGTTTAATTTACCTGTTGCTGATCCTGTTAAAACTGTTAACAGGGGCAGGCCAAGACCATAAAGCACTTCATCCAAAAATAAAATTATTGCGCACCCCATACAGTTGTTGTCTTGAAGTTACAAGTTCAGGCGTCCGATAAAAGCCTGTAGCTTCCCAATTAGATCCTCCTCAGGAAGATATCTACCTCTTGCCACATTAACAAGAGTTATTCTTCTAGCAAGAAGAATAACTCTTGGTAATGTGGCAAGAGGTTAACATGTGTCTTTAACAAGCAATGAAAGCCCCTCAAAGATCGAGTTTGTGTCGCACGTTTGTAGGCGGAATAAACCAGTTAAAAACTTTTAGTTAAGGGTACCTATGGTAATTTATTGTAAAATAAGACCTTTTTATTTGAAACTACCAACTACACCAACCCGCATAATTTGGCACCCCTGAGTATTTTAAAATTGTGACTTTCTTTACCAAGATTAAAATGTTTGTTTCAGGAAGAAAGATGTAGCCCCAGCTCTGGACAAAAATATTATGGAGAAGGTTGGCCGCTGTAGAGGGCAGCTATAGTTATCATTATATGTTGCCTTTTATTGTTATGTACTGTTTTTATACTTCACCAATAAACCTTATATTTATCTATAGCAGTTAATTTTGTTAAAATTCTTACCAGTAAACTTCTCTGTAATTTGTAAAGAAAACATGTAAAAATGATTATATATTTTATTTTGATCTTCTAACTATTTTGACAGTTTTATAGATAAAATATTCTTTTTTTAGATATATTTTTTTATTGTTCTTGTTCGTACATGTCTCAGATAACTATACATAAAGATAAAATGATATTTATATTTATATTATATATGCGAGTGCCAATCTTAAGAAGCAAAGTTAATATATAGCTAGTAAAATAAAATAATGTTGGTGTTTAATGACTAATGAGTGTACTGTAAAAATGAAATAAGTATAATATAATAGGTTACGTACCTTATTCCGTCTTCAGTCTTAACTTAGTCAATGCTGGATGACTAGTTTCGGGAACAAAGTCCCATTATCAAATCCTTATTTAAACTTTACTTTACTCGGGGACTTTGTTCCCGAAACTAGTCATCCAGCATTGACTAAGTTAAGACTGAAGACGGAATAAGGTACGTAACCTATTATATTATATTCAATTATCAGTCTTGGTGGCAAAGATGTTTAAATGAAATAAGTAATTCAAAAGTTGAAACAAAAACTCTATTTAGCCAACCCAATAAAATCACTCAAGAATTTTCCTCTGAATAAATGTTTGAACTTGATAGTCTAGAGGTGTTAGGTTAATGAGACATAAGACTGCTTAAGGGTGTTGCTCAACGTGTAATGAACAAAATTAAATTAAGAAAAACAACAAAAGTAAAGCAAAAGAAAACTTTGAAAAGGCAAAGATCAAAAATAATAAGATAAATAAATGTACAACGTTATAATTTACAAGAAAAGAAAATCAATTAAAAATTTAAAAGAATGAGTTACTGACAAACTATATGACTTGTTTGTTTTACAAAACTTTAGTTATATATTTTATTCTTTTTACATACTGTTTATTGTCCCAGAAGCACACGCACCGATACACACACTCCGAAACTCTCGATCTTCTTGGTCCAGTGGCCCGTGGTGAACTCCTCGATTTGTTTCTTCAGGTCCTCCAGCTCCAGCTGAGAGACTCCTCACCCCTCCATTTTCTTCATTAGCCCTTCTCATTGGCTGATTGGGTGTTTGACTTATAGGTTAACGATGTTTCTTGGAAGTCAGCCCTACCGGTCATCGCCTAGCTCACGTCAGCTGGGAAAGGAATTTGTAAATCGATACTCATGCTACTGTTCAACTCTCTTCACACCAACTGGTCGACTATAGTCCTCGCCACCCTAAGTTGAGGCAGCCAAAGGCCGCACTAGATATACGCCGTGCGGCCTTGGGCTGCCTCAACTTAGGGTGGCGAGGACTATAAGTATAATGTAAACAGAGTATCTGCTTAGATGAGCACCGTGGGTACGGGGTTAATCCCCTTTCTTACAATGTAAATCTATGTTGTAAACTTCTTGACATACGAGAACTACTTTAAGGACAATTTATACTAGGCGTACGCTCATTCTTCCCGTATTGGGGGCCTAAGACATTGAAAAAGGCTGTGCTGGTAAAAGCGACCAGAATACACAGTAAGACCGAAGACCCTAGTTGTTGCCGCACATAAAAATTATACTGGATATATAGCAGGTATGGATACAAAAATCATGGATGCTCAAACAGTGTCTTGCACAGCAGATCATTTTGAGAATGCCAGAGGTCTTGGCGCAGATGTGCTGAATGTCTGGCACAAAGCCCAAACGCATATGGCAAGTCAATAAGAATCTGGGAAATAGTCAATATCCAGAGAATTTTGTTAATGCCAACAATTTTTAACTTATTCTTGGTGGAATCAACCATTATCTTTGGTCAAGTCTTAGCTAAGATATCATTAAGAGACTGAGACGGTGGTGTCATCCTGTAATTCAGCTACTAGGAGGTCACGAGTTGTGGATATTTATAGGCATGTACTGTGGATGTGATACTTCGTGGTTTGAATTAACGCCCTTACTACGACTATCCGCAGTACTATCCTGATAATTAGACCAATTTTTTTATACTTAGGAAAAATGTGGTTCGGATTCTACTATAAACTGTAGGTCCCTATAGTTTCCATTAGCCCAAAGTATGGGCTATTAATTGACAGCTGTGTCTAAGGAATATGTCAGCCTTAGTCACTAACAAGGATACAAAATCGTGCCACTCATCCATCCTACACTCATCTCCATGCATACTGGTACTTGGCTTAAAATACCTACTTTGTATGGTTGCCATTTCAAATTAAAGTATTAAGCCTAAGGCAAAATTACTCATAATCATAGAGGGAAGCAACTTTCCACAAACAGATTTATATCGTCAGCGAACTAAGGGATCTTGATAACTCTCTTGATGTCTTTAAAGAATATGTACAACTAAAAATATCTGTAAATTTCTTTTGATGTTTTCATGATAAATATGCAATGCAATACAACAAAGTACCATTTTGAACTTTAAAACTTTTAACATTAAACTTTTGAACATTAAAAATAGCTGTTAACAACAAATTTTTCGATCTTTACAAAAATCTGAAGGGCAGGTCCAGAATTGATGGCCTCTCAAGTCCGTAAATTGCATCTGTGATGTTGTTTAGTAAGTTCAACGCTAAATGATTATCAGTTAACTTATTTTATCCAATAGTGTTATTAATACTTATGAAGTCAAACGGAACGGGGTGAAGCCCGTGGATAACAGCTAGCTGTCTAGTTGATATAAAACACGTTTTTGAAAATAATTCGATTGATGCTTTAAATGCAAATGTTAGGCATTTATTTTATGAGTTATTTAACTTTTCATACAACAGATCTATGGAACATAACAATAAATTATTCTCTTTAGCGCTCCTTTAGCGAAGCACGGGTATGTCGGCTAGCTATAGTACGCTTTCGCAACGGGTACACAAGTTAGAATACATTTAATTGTTTGATGTAATAATTAAGTCAATAGCCCAAAAGTAAACACATCCGATTTATTGTGCATCCTATGTTCAATTGTGTTTTGGATTTTGTCACATAACCTGAAAACCAGTCAAACGGTTACATGGAAATTGTGGGAAATTTCGCTCTACAAGTGCCTGCTGCATCCCTGCATTTATCCCACTGAGCTAGATTTATCCAACAGTGTTGTCATATTGAGGGAGTAACACTAAATTCAGGGGCGTAATCTCGCTGAATAAAATTAAAAGTCTGCAGCAACACCTATTTCAAATTTTAAAGACAGCTTTGTCTGGAGCTCCATTTTTATATATTCTACTACTGTATTTAACTTATGGATTTTATTTTGTACCTTTCATATGTGTTATATTTAGCTAATAATCTTAACATATAAAAGTAAAAGCCCTCACTCAATGATTCATTATTAATCCAACTTCCAGACTAGCTAGAACGTTGAAATTTGGTGTACTGATTCTTCAGGCATTAAATAGGAAAACTAAGTAGTTTTTATCCTGATCTGACTTTTGGGTTCCACCCAAGTGGTTCTGGAGTTTCCTTAACCTTATAAGTATCTATATTATTAAAAGACTTTGTTGGATTTTGTGTGCAGCAAATTGACCCATAAGTTTGAATGTTTATAGGCATATTGGGTATCTATATATTAAATATAGATACCCAATATATATAATAGGCAAACACGAATTTTGTGACGTATCCGTTTTGAAGCTGCTATGCATCCGATCACCACGTAGATAAATGCTTTCCATTGACCTACCTTTTTACATTGATTGGCATATCACTGATGACAAATGATCACTATAATGTATCTCAAAACATATATAAGACCTAGAATAATACAATTTTGCATTGGGACGACAATCCATGTATATGGTGTAGATGTACAAAGTTGGGGGTTTTGCAAAGTTCTAAATTCAAGGGTGGTTTAGGGGATTAAATCTATTTTAAGAATAAATTCGAGTATGCAAGGTATTATATTTTGGTCTGTAACTTATAAGCTACAATGCTTGGATCTTAAATCTTATGGAAGATCGGTAGTGTAGAACTAAATTATCCACAACTTTTGTATTTCAAGAGTGTTTTTCTATCTCAAACATATTTCGAGTAAAATAGGTTTACATTCAAATAAACTGTGAAAATTTGCTTGTTCCGCCACCTAAAAACTAGTCAGTGTCCGTACGTTTAACCATATGATTACCAAATCTTTTATTTTATTAAATAGCATTATTTATTATATAATAATAATGCATAAATCAATAAAAGCTGTTAAAAACCTATCAAGTGTACTATCGCAAGTATAGCTACCGACATTATTACATTTTAGGAGCTTGCTCCCGTAAACATTTGAAATCTTCTATTCTAAAAAGCTTTCAGTATTGGTTGTCATTAACCGGAACTGCTACACAATTTGTTGTAAAACGGTGATAGTTTTCGTTAAACGTTAATAGAGTCAATCTTCTTATATTCAAAAATAAATTTAACCGATTTTCATGATTGAGGTCTCAAATTGAAGGTGTGCACAGATTTCACTCTACGCATCGGCATATACATTGATCTACTGTATTACTCGTCCAAAAAACATATATTAAACTTTTTCGAATTCTTACTTCAATTTAAGATGCATTTCACCAGTTATAATCCTACATACTTTGGTCTAAGAACCTTCAGTGAAATGCCGGCTTTCATTTAAGCTATTAATTAGTTATCCAAATCGGACGGACTACAAGCAATAATTGCAATGTGAACAACCAACATATAAATTATTTTTTTATAAGGGTTTTCTATGATTAAAAATCAATAGGTCCACTATTGTTTATGTTTTTTTTCATGATTTTGACGCAAAATAGTAAGTTAATTAAAGGTTTTAATTTGAGCTATTTATCGTTTGAATCAGTTAAGACCAAGATACTCAATAATAAAAATGTATAAATTTGATTATTGCTCGAATATGATTTTCATTTCAACGTTGTAGAGTAGCATGGGCCCTCTAGTAATTATTAAATGTACAGAAGGGACAACAAAATTCAAGAATAATATCAAATCAAGAGCATGCCGAG